CGTGGAAACTTCTTTCTTGCCCGTTCATTGAAAACTCACCTTTGCTAGTTGGTCAGTGGCGCTTACGAGCTTTGTGCATTAGAACATATAAGAACACGTATGGTCAACATCTGCAGCAGGAGTGAGTTAAGCCCAAGGACTAGATTCGCTCGGTTGATCTTTAAAATCAACTTTATGACGTGTTTACCGACCGAAAGGGTGATCAAAAAGGCTTAGATTGAAGTGAGAGGAACTCCAGGTCATACTTGAATCAAAACGATAATTATTAATAGCTTGGTTAATTAATTTCGCAAACAGCAGTTATACCACTAATTAGGATTCAGCGGCCCATCGTCTGTTTGGGCATACAGTAGAACAGCTATACTTGGATGACGATTTTGTGGCTATGGATAATTGTTGCTTCTTAAAAGGTTTTCATTGTCCGGCGCAGCGAGAACAATAGCGCAAGGTTAAGCAGGTTTCTCTGTCCCCCTGCTCCGAGTAGTCAGATTACAAAATCACGTACTCAGATTCACTGTTCGCAAGATGTGAAACCAGGCACGCAAGCTGAAGCTCAGTCGAGCTCCATGTTTTTCATTTTACAGATGCCACTACCGCTTGTTGCAATGAATAAGTAAAGATGGAATTCAGCCCTTGTCACCTTGTTCCTTCTGCCATTATTTTACTCCTTGTCGATCCACCTTACTTTCGCCTCGTTCTTTCTTGCAGCACCTGGCTGGATATCTCGAAAATTTCATCGGTGACCTCATTAGAATAAATTTCAGACGACGAGGCACAAATATTGTCATGTGTGGCTTGGGGGGTGGGCAACCGAAGTCATTTCGACAGTGTGCAACGTAGACGTTGCTGCTGCCTCAATGAGGCGCACGTTTTGCATCATAAATTTGCAACTGTCCGCATCCAATTATGATTGTCATCATCATCGAATCATGTCAAATAACCGTAAGCGAATTCACACGTCACGGGAGCTTTCATTTTTCATTGCACGACTGCCAAACGTCGCCAGCTGCGATTACAATGCGTTATTTCCGAATGACTGTTTCCGTGCCCAATTACTGCCCTCGCCACGGTTGTACGTGCTTAATTATTCTTGTGCCGGCTTTCGAGGAAGAAATGAACAATATATCATCGTTGCTGAATGAAAGGAGCGAACAGACCATGCGTTAGCAATTCCGTTCTTTAAAACTTTCGAGTGGGTTTTACGAACGGTAAGGAAAATCTTCTCCTTTACTACTGATCGCTCACTCCAACACTCACATAATGAGGAACATGCAGTGACTTAAATTATGAGGTTGCATTCTACGGCGAACCGAATATGAGGTTGCTATAGCAGTCACCAAGACCTGAAATGAGCACTGAAAACGTTGGCTAACAAAACGGCGGTGGCTAAAAGATGATAGCTTCTTGACGCACTTAAGGAGAATATGTGAATATGTCTTGGATAAATATCCCGATTACAAACCAAGACAAAAAGATTGGAGAAAGTGGAGGCGTTTGTGTTAATTCTGAAATTGCTTATCACCCCAGCTAGGTGATACGGCAGATTTTTCCTTCCGCACTTATCAGGCGCAATTCTCAGTACTGAGAGAGGAAAAAGAACAATAAGAAGCTTGCAAAACTGCTCCCTACATGCTGGCATTTTTGCGACGCTAAACCGGTGAGACAGAAGCACCGATGATACGCATCTTCATCACTCTGAACTTGACGTCGAGGATAATATACAGTAAGATGGTTATGCTTATCCGGCTCTTCGACGACCCTGGACAGGAAGGACAGGACAGGAATGATCGTTCATGCATCTTTTCTTGCCTGTATAACGTAAAATGACGGTCTTCAATCTTCCGGATCCCAACTGTATTGAAACGCTATGTAGAAAAACGAGTTTAATAAACGGCTGATGCCCATAAACGCATATAACAAGGAATAGCAGTACTTTGGACATATCTTGTGGTCGGGTAGTCTACAGAAAATTCTGCGCCAAGGCTTACGAAATGCGTAGATAAGAGCTGGATTAACAAGCTATTACTCGGAATGATAACCAAATAAATTCCCTCTCTCTCTGCATATTTTCCGTATGCAATTGCTAGCTGACGATGTATGAGCAGTTGGCCATGAGAGATGACTGAATGGTATCAAGATGGAAGTACCTTCATTAGAACCTACTGACAAATTTGCACTTTGACGTTATTAGCAACAACTTACGGTTGAGTAAGCAATTCCACTCGCTGTTCAGTTAATATTAATTATTAATAATATTCAGAAATATTTATAATTTAAGCGAATAAGACAGAGTATGTTGTGGATTTTGACCACGTTTTTCTTTGAAGATCTTGCAGAGCTACCATGTTTCGAGCAAACGACGTTAATCGTTTACCGCATGTGCAAATACCATATTATCTGAATAGGTCTTACTGTCAGATTCATTGTTTCTTGATGTTGCTTAGTCGAAACATTGAAGCTTTGCATGTTTTACAAAGTAAAATGTTGAGAG